GTATTGTGGTGTGTGGTATTTTGGGGAAACTCTCTAAAAATTGGCTTACATTATTGGAGATTCCGTAATTATTATATACTCTGATTTTCAAACAATTTTATTTTGGAACAAATGAGGTTTCTTAACTTAGGTTTTTTTTTTAAATGGAGTGTGTATATATATATATATATATATATATATATATATATATATATATATATACTGGTTGGCGGGTTGACCCACAAACCCAAATACATAACCCAACCCAACCCATGAAATAAACGGGTTGGCGGGTCACAAATCTAAACCCAAATCCATTTATTTTCGGGTTCAGTCAGGGCCGGTCCAAACGTATATGGGGCCCGGGGCGAAAAGAAAAAAAGAGCCCCTCAACGACAAATATAATAAAGATTAAAAAAATATATCATTTATTCTTTACTATATACATTTTCAATTAGCACTAACAAGTAAGTCAAATTGTTAATCTTTTGAGCTACTTTGAGTTTGAACAAACTTTAGATCCTAATAATCATGTAGGTAATATTTTTTTATATATATACACTTCATAGCCTAGAAATTTTGGGCCCCCTGAAGACGTGGGCCCTGGGCGGTCGCCCGGGTTGCCCACCGTCTGGATCGGCCCTGGGTTCGGTCAATGTCGGGTTATGAGTTGGATCGAGAGTTGCCACTCCTACCTAACCATATTATGCAGGTACTTAACTTAAGGGAGCTCTCTACAATGTACTGAATGCTCTCCAAAAGAATCTAAGCATGCCTTGTAACAAACCTGACATATCTCACGACTTGAAAATAATGGAATAACGAGGTGATACTTTAGGATAAAATGATATTATATTGGTGACATATGTTGCCCATGACCATTTATAGGGATAACAAAAAGAAAATATTGAGCATGTGGTGCTCGTAGGTATTAAAAATTACGTTCAGACTACCAGTCATGTTGAAGTGTACTTCTGTGTCTTGGACAATTTCACTAAAAATGACACTCACAAATGAATGTTGAGCTTTACAGGGTGGTGACCTTATTAATGAAACTACTAAAGTTGAAGCTTGGAATTTTAACACAAAGACAAGTCAAGGAACAAATATAATCAAAATTCATATCTTATATAGTTATATGTCACTGTCCCATAGGATGTGGTCTTATAACAACTACGATTGAGCCCTTAAGGCCACAAAAGGATATGAGAAAGCCTTTAATGCCGAGTATATATCCATACCTCCAAACTTAATGGGTAATTAATGAAGAAAGTTTCCACTTTATGTCCTTAAATAAATGAGTTTCACAAACCACCATGTCCTTAATCAATCCATGTAATCCTTTCTCAAAGAAAATGGTGTCTCCTTTATGTGGAAGGTTTGGCATGTCCTCATTTCAAAGAATAGTTTGGCAATACTTTTATAAGATAGAGTAAAAGGAGCTCACAATTGAGGTTACATAACTATAGAGAAAAGCATAACAAATCAATATCGTTGACATATCTCTTCATTAACAATCCACTAATAAAACTCATATCTATGCTCATAAACCCCAAAGAAAAGTTACCTCCACTAATAACATTCTAATGTCTAGAGAGAATACACCAAGATGAAGCTTCATATCATTACATGAAGGCTAAAGTATCTTGGTTTTCTTAATATTCAGTTTAAGAACCAATCATGTATTGATCACCATAATGATGTCTAACACTCTGACCATTTCATCTAAATCTCCAAAGCCTACCATTTTCACAAACAAATTTTTTATTTGTAATTAAAGTAAAACACCATTTTCAGATGTTGAGTTGGGGGAATAAGTGTGGAAGGATAAGAAAAGAATAGAAAGAGAACAAATGAAAAATAGATACGTCAAAGTTACCAACTTACCATCACTCCCTCATGTCATAAAAAATGATTTTATCAAAATTGTTACTATTCTAACCAATATATGACAAAATGCAACTGTGCACGAGCTGTAAGTTCATTTTCCGACCTTTAAAACGACAAAGACGTGCAATTAATGTCAAAAGCAAAGGACGGTGTGCAGCTTTTTGTAAATGAGGTTGCGCGGCCAATATCCACCGTAAACAACCTACTCCACACGACACACTTCTATAAATTCCAGTTTTACCCCCCTTTCTTCCCCCCAACACAAATCATGATAACATCCATCACCCCAAGACCCAGGTTCGTCCTCGAGGTTGCTCCGCCGCAGCTCATTGTGGTCGTCCGGCGACCATTAATGGTGGTGCTCGCCACCATCAACGAAGATGAAAATTTGGTTTAAAGTTTTCGCTTTTATATTAAGTTTTCGTAGCATTATTATGAAGTCCGGACTCAATCAGAATCCGACAGTTTTAAGTCGGAATAAGCTTGAGCAATCGATTCCTTTTCTTTCTTTCTTTTTTTGATTATTATCGCACTGTGTTTTTGAAGACGATGAGATCGTTGAATGCATATTTTTATTGATAATTAAGTTTAATTTTGATGTCAAATAATTTCGACACCAATTTTTTGGGTTAAAGGGTCGAAGAGCGAGTTATGTCATATTGTCATTGCGGGTTTTCTTTTTGCTTAATGTTCAGATTTATTTGTAATCATGTCGGTTTGCTAAATGAAAATAATGAGCTTCACTATTAATCTTTATGCATGATCTTTTGTTTATTGAGCATGTGTGGTTAAATTCAAGTAAATGCATAATAACCAATAACATTACCATCAATTTGATTTTTTGAACATAAAGAATGTAACTATAAAATAAATTCTAAAGCGAAAGGGATTGTTCACAAAAGAATTACTTACAAAAAATAAAAATTAAAAATAAAATAAAAATAATAATAAATAAAGATCGTGGAATGTTGTTAATTACTTCATAGTTGCCATGCAAGAAGTTTATACAGTGATATTTACCTGTAGACTCGTACTGTAGGCACATTTGAGTATAACTAGTAAATTGATAAAAATTAAAAACTATATGTAGAATAACCCGGCTATCGAAAGTTATGTTGATGAATTAAACAACACCCTCTTTTATAATTCATTGGAGATCTGTTTTAACACATAAATTTGTTAAACTATAGATAAATACTTTTTACCTAGATATATGATATTATTAAAGTGTCACTTATTTTGAACAATATTAAAATAAAATTTATAAACGAAAATCAGAATTACATATATTGTAAATCTTACTGATGAGTAAAAACTTTCAGCGTCCATCAGTCCATCACATCTTTGTCTTGTTGTACCATTGGCAAATTTAAACGAAAGAAATGATACCGCTTTCGAAATCTCCCAATTTTTACAATGGTTGAAGTCACACTCACTTCCTACCGACAAGATTCAAGCTCTATCACATTTAGGCTATGTGGTATGCCGTATGCACATTACACACCATGAGTGGTGCTTATCTGGCATGAGCCACTAACAAATACCATTTAGGGATGAGCAAGACCATCAAAATTCCCGACTCGAATCGGGACCGATATCAGTACCAAACCAACATCCATTTATATTAAAAAATCATGAAATTTCGGATTCGATACGGTCGGTATCCGTGCTAATACCAAAAACCAATACTATACCCGATACTATTAATGTTAGTTTCATTCGATACTCAATATCATATTTCACCCATTTCGGTACTAATTATTACTGGTTCAGTATCGGTTCCGTTCATGTTCATCCTTAATACCACTCTTTCACCTCGTTCCCGAGTGTCATTTAACGAGGGAAGTTGAGAGAAAGGGAGGGAATCCGAGAGAAAGAGGAGTACGATCGTGTTCCCAAGTTATTTTATTGGGATGATTTGGGTAGAAAAGAAAGGAAATCAGAGGATAATCTTCCCTCCTAATCTTCCTTCCAAATTGGAGAGATTTGGAGAGAAGAGAATCAAGGATAAAGATTAGAACACACGGTTTTTTTAACCTATCTATATAATCACGTACACACACACAGAGAAAAAAAAAATCATCCTTCATCTTCTCTTTGGACGTTCGCTGCAGGCTTTAATCCTCCATCAGGTTACATTGTCTTCTCCAATGAATTTTTTGGTTGTTAAATCTTGTTCATCAGGTTACACTTATGTTACAACCTTTTTTTTTTCTGGTTCATATAATATGTTTATTGTTCATTATTGTTCTTATATGTTTCAGATCACATTACCTGTGATAATATGTTCTTATAGTTTGTTTCTTCTCATTTTTGTTATTAAAGTTGAATTGATTCATTAGGTTACTTGTAATAATATGTTTAGAACACCATTACATGTTTCCTCTTGTGATATTATGTTTAGAGCATCAATACAAGTATCCTCAGGTTCAATATATTTTTACAAACTTTTTTTTTTCTTCTGAATTTGTTTCTTCTTCAAGATCCATTGATCCGATCCTCATACACACTCATTCTGACGACCAAGGGATGTATAACATGTCAACAACATTTTGTGATAGTTCCTTTCAATAGCAAATACGTGCATTAACTATTACTCAATGCAATTCTCAAAGTATCTCCTGTTGGACTATTTTGCCCTTGCTTTTATTTTGGATGTATGGCTGTTTTTGCTGCAAAAAAATAAACACAAAATTTTCTATTGATTTTTATAGAATGTTATGAATAGGTGGGTCAATTACACGTTTAAAAATGAAAATAATAAAGCTTTTTGTTGGCCAAAACGATGACAAAATTGAAACTATAAACAACTTATCAAAGTTTACATACAAGTATTGCAAAATATTTGATTAAAATAACCAACACTCATCTAAACCGGATACAACCCAAGTCAAAAATTCATGCCTACCAAAGGAACTATGAGTAAATTTTTATTTACTTTAACTTTTCAAAAAGCTAAGGTGATTCCTCAAAATTTTCAAAGGTGGTTCCTAAGTTTTTTTCTACAATAATTATAAATAATTTTAAAAAATAAGGTGGGTTAGATGACCCACGTAAGCCCTTCTTAAATTTTCCATTGCCTCTTAATAATCCTTCACATTTTTTACGTAAAATAGGTCACATTGATTTCAATGGATATTGACCTTCCTTCACCCGCTCATATTTTGAAATCAAGACAAATGCAAGTTGTTCATCTAATTTGCTTGTTGATTGCTATTCTGGTACAACACAAACTTACCATCAAGAATGGTCCTAATTTACCTACTAGAGAAACTCTTTTAAAACGTCGATGTGTATGGGAAGAGTTGTTACATAACCTTTCAAATGGTGGTCAATGTCGTCAGCTTATCCGTATGAGTGAGCAAGCTTTTAAGAAGCTATGTGTTATCTTACGACGTGATGGTGGTCTTCGACCTACTCAACGAATGTCTGTTGAAGAGCATGTTGCAAGATTTTTGCACATTGTAGGTAATGATTTGAGAAACACATTTGTCTCTTGGATGTATCGGCGCTCGAAATCCACAACGAGTAGGTGCTTCCATAGAGTTTTGCGCTCGGTTATAGCATTAGAAAGTCTTTATATTCAACAACCACAAGGTGATGTTGTCCCCAAAGAAATTCAAGAGAAAAAGAGATTCTTTCCTTACTTCAAGAACTGTGTAGGAGCAATTGATGGTACACATGTTCGTATCAAAGTACCTAATAGAGATGCCCCTAGATATCGTGGCCACAAGGGTTACCCAACGATAAATGTGTTAGCTGCTTGTTCATTTGATTTAAAGTTTACGTATGTCTTAACCGGTTGGGAGGGTACTGCATCAGACTCAAGGATACTAAAGAGTGCGCTTAATAGAGATGATAAACTAGTAATTCCAAATGGTAATTTCTAGTATCAACTTTTTATTTTTTAGTTTAAATTATTATTAAAAAACTAATTACAATTTAATTATAGGTCGCTATTATTTAGTAGACGCGGGTTTGCCTCACTCAACTATATTAATGGCGCCATATAGAGGTGTTAGGTATCATCTAAAAGAATATTCCACTCGGGTACCACAAAATGCTAGAGAGTTGTTCAATCTTCGTCACGCTTCATTACGTAATGCTATAGAAAGGGCATTTGGTGTTCTAAAAAGAAGGTTCCCTATCATTAGAAGTACACAAGAACCTTTTTATTCTTGTGAAACACAATCAGACATTTTTTTGGCGTGTTGTATTTTGCATAACTTTTTGATAGTTGAAGATCGTGACAAAGATCTTGAAGATGAGGTATTACAGGAAGTGTTAAGTGCACCAACAGAGGAAGTCAGACATAATTCAAGTGGTACGCGTGAGGGTAACAACATGGCAGAGCAATTTAGGAACTCAATTGCAAATCAAATGTGGACTAATTACTTATTGAATCCAAACAATGAAATAAATATGTCAACATAGTTTAAGAGTATTTCGTTATATTACTTCATTTGCAATTTGAATTTTTATTGAACATTGTTTTGTGAATTCATTTGTGTTATTTTAAAAAAAATTATGTTATTTTTGATAACTTGTACACTTTATAACTATGTTCTTTTTATAATAATGTATGTTTTTTTATGTTATGTAGAACCCGATAATGAACAAGCAAGAACCTATTGTAAATACTGGTAAGAAATCACTCTTGAACTGGACAGAACATATGGATGTTGCATTTGTTGATGTAATGGTACAACAACAAGAAAAAGGAAATAGGCCTTATGGAAATTTTACATCACAAGTGTATGCGAATATGGTTGAGGAGATCAATACGAAACTTACAATGAATTTAACTAAAAGTCATCTAAAAAATCGTTTGAAAACTTTGAAATCTACTTTTTCACAATGGTATGACATGTTCAATGGGATTTCCTTGAGTGGGTTCGGTTGGAATGCTGATACCCAACTAATTGAAGCAGATGAGGAGGTTTGGGATAACTTAATTAAGGTTAGTTTTCATTTAAGGTTGTATTTAGTTTATTTTTATATTATGTTATTATTAATAATTTTAATGTATTTTGGGGTTTTTAAACAGTCAAAGCCTGATGCAGTTGCACTGAAGACAAAAAAGGTGGCCCACTTTGAACAAATGTTGGTATTATTTGCAAGAGATAGAGCTTTAGGAGAAAATGCTGAAACTGCAAAGGAGAGAAATGCTAGGTTTAACAACACTACGAACATCAAAATAGAAAGTATTTCAGAGGTTGATTCTTTATTAGCAAGTAATGATGTTAGACTGGAGAACCAACGTGTAGATGATGATGAAGATGACATTCAAGTGGTGTCTCCTACACCTGAACAAAATTCAAGTGCGAAAAAATGTAAAACTAAAAAAAGAAAACTCGTAGATGAAGTAGAACAGGAAGTTGAACCTCAGCCTCAACCTGAACCTGAAACATTTGAAACAAAGATTATGAATGCTGTTAGTGATGTGGCTAATGCAATGAGGGAAGGTAACAAAATTTTTGAAAGAGCTTACCATTATGAGTTAACAGGTGATGAAATTTATCAAGAATTGCAGCCGATGGGTTTGGAAGCCCATGAAATACCAGGTGCTCTCATGTATTTGGCTCGTAACCAAGCAGATGCGAGGACGTTGTTTACTTGTCCAATGAACATAAGGAAGGATATACTAAAAACAATGATGGGTGCAGGTAAATGATGAATTGGGAGAATCGGTGTTTATTTCTTGGTTCTTTGTTCAACTTTTTTTTGGTTTCACGAATTGAATTATGGTTTTTCGAATCATAGTTGGATTAAGTTGCATTGTTTTGGATGATTTTTATAGTTTGGTTTCTTTTAATTTAGACAAATGCTATTAAAAGATATCCACAACTTTTTTTTATTTTAATATTATTTATGTGTTGCTATTCATTGATAATTTAATTTAATATTATATGTAGGTTGTATTTGACAAAATATATATATATGTATGTGTGTAAATGAATGTTTAGACAACAAATATGACGTTAACATGCAAATCAACATTTTTTTTTTCAATTTCAACTATGTGTTTAATAATCTTGCTAAAAAATAGGATAAAATTGTAATGTTGTTATTTAGCTTTCTTTTCTTTTCTTTTCCTTCGAACTCGGGAACACACTTTTTAAAAAACTTCCCTTCCTTTCCTTTGGACTCGGGAACACGAAAAAGTTAATCACTTCCTTCCCCTCCCTTTCTTTTCTCTCCATATTTTACTTCCCTTTCTTTTCTTTCGTTTAATGAAACTCAATTAAACTCGGGAACAAGGCGTTTGTGTGTCTTGCGGAAGTAGTGTGGTGAAGAATGAAGGCTATCATGCCTCTCTCTCTCTCTCATTATTTTAGATTAAAATTTTATTTATGTTTTTAGGTGGTTTAATGTGGGATATTTTCTAGTTTTTTTTTTAAACAATGGAATTTTATTATACTAACGTGTTGTTTGTTTTTTGTAAAAAAACTTCTTCAGATCTTTTATTGTTGCGCAACTCAGCACACGCACAACACTTTTGATCTCGCGGGTGTTTGTTTTTTTAGATATCTTCAGAGTTAAAAACATATGTGCGTGTTCTGTTTGGCGCAACACTTGTATTGCCTCTTCCAGCCTCTTATTCTTCTTTTTTTGTTATTGCCCTTTTTGAGGTCTAAAATAGGATCCCTAGCCCTTAGAGAGTATAGAGGGATAAAGTTCGAAACTTTATCCAGTTGGACCTTAGAATGGACCGGATCGGAGCTTTGGATCCCTTAAGATCAAGCAAATCGCCTTAATCCATTAAATTATTGAGGAGCCCAGTACCTACTTTTTGTTCTTGAGGCCAGTACCTTAGAATGGACCGGATCGGGGCTTTGGATCCCTTAATAATGGACCTTAGTTGGTCTTGAGGCCAGCACGCTATCTTGAATTTCGGGGGACAATCCCCAGAGGTAACGCTCCAACTTTTTGTCTTCCAGGGTGACCATAGCGGGACAAAGGAGTGCTAGATCACAAAATCGGTTGGTGTAAGTTGTAAGGTCGGAGCCTGCCATTCTGAGATTCCATAGTTCTTGCTCCAGCTTTTGCACTTCACTTCTTGGGCAATATTCCTTCAGCATCATCTTCTTCAAGTCCTCCCAACTTAACGAGTTAGCCACTGCAAGCGTAAGCGATTTAACTTTGCCGTTCCACCAAGTGAGAGCTCTTCCGATGAAGGTGAATGTCGCGTACTTGACTTTGCTCGCTTCGGGGCAAGCACAAATCTCAAAGATTGCTTCGGTCCTCTCGAACCATTGAATTAGTGCGAGGACACCCCTACTTCCATCGAAGGAATCGGGTTTGCCATTTGTGAAGTCCTTGTAAGTGCATTCCCTTGTGCGTCATGCGCTATCCCCGTGGTTAGGGTTTGTGGCTCCAGATCCAGCACCACCAGTGCTATTTGTGCCAATTTGTGACATTGCAGCTACCACGGCTGCCGTTACTGCAGCTTGGAACATTTCGGGATCAAACTGGGGAGGTGGCGTCGGAGGTGGTGGCGCTGTGCTGCCCGAAGGTCTAGGTCTTTTCCTTGGTGGCATCGTTCTGTCATGAGTTTGCAAAAAGAAAAATGATCAGATGGTAAGTTTCTACTAGTAAAGACAAGTCAGTTGTTATAGAATTAGATTTTTCCTGCATTATCCTTCGATTTAAGAGTTCCTTAAATATAACTCATAAAGGAAGTCCATATGAATGAACTTCACGAGTTAGTAGGTTTTGTGGTCTCTCTTAGATTTTTCACAAGTGTGCTCAAGGCGATTGGTGCGGATCGTATGTATTCTTGCATTTGCATCAACCTCTACGATACTATGGAGAGTTGTTCTACCCTGAATCTCGTTTCGGGCAACTCTATGGACCAGGATTGGAAAAATTTTATCTGCTGAGCTTCCTTCGTTTATGTTGTAGAAACTTCGTTCTCTATTAAACGACATATGTTGGTCTTGTTCTTCGCTCCAGGTTTCCAAGCACTCTACCCAAGGAGGCGTCGGGCCCTGAAAAGCCGGTCAAGGGTTGGGATTCGGAACAAGAGTCATCGGGGTTAAGTTCTCCACTTCAGGGTCGGAGTCAGAACCATCAGCATAGCCTTCAGCTTGGTGACCATCTACAGGGGTTGGGTAATCATTCTCTGGCTCCTCTCCGAGCCATTTGGTATTGTCGTGGTTAGGGTAATACGGGTCATCGTGTGGATGGAAATCCAGCCATGATATCTTCGCGAGAAATGGGGATATAAGAAACAACTAAGCAAAAGTACTAATTGGCTAATTATATGATGATCTTTATCAGGTACTTCAACATATTGTTTAGTGCATACTAGTTATAAGTATTCGGGACAGGATAGACCTTCGAATAAGCAACCCTAACTCTAAATCCCCAATCCAACGAGAACAGGAAGTAGAGCAAAGATTCACAGATTCTAAGTCTATGACGTCCTGAATGCATAAAATTTTAATGTATCCACTAAGCAACTATTGACCTATTGATAAAGATCTATTTAGTTCTCACATATGTAATTATAATGATGCCAAGATACCCCTATGGTATTTCATTGTGGTAGTGTTGGTAAGTTTTTAGACTTGTTGCCACATCACAACCATTCTTGGGCATATGCTAATCACTCCTCGCACCAGCATAGTTGATCAGGCTATGCCACTCCCAAGACTGACCATACATCCCGAGGCTTACCTGTGATATCCAACAATCATTACTTTTGTTTTGTCCTAAAATGATGCTGACCTTAGTATGTATGCATGCATGTATACTTTTAACAAAAGCTATTTATTCCTAAAGGTATAGTGGTTTTGAAATCTTAAAATCAGAGACCTTAGTCCCAATGCATTTATAGTTTGTATATCTTATGTGGTTCGATATACTTAGCTCACTATAAACAATGCTCTGATACCAATCTGTCACACCCCCAAACCAAGGATGGCGGAAACGTCTGGGGGTGGAGGACTTCATGTACAGTATCACAACAACGTGTATAATAGTGCTCAAAGTAAAAACAACCACCATATATATAATTGCAAAAGTTACACCAAAGTATATGTTTATATGTTTCAAAAGCAATTACATTATGATGACAAAATAAATTGTTGACGGTTTAACGTCCCATCCTCAAACCGATGAAGTTTTCCTGTTTCACTGATTTCCTGAGAATACAAGTAGTTTTAAAAGTGTTAACAATTAAGTTGGTGAGTTCATAAGAGTTTTGTTTGAAGTAGAAACCGTTTTCCTTGTAAAATCGATATAGTTTGATTTCCAGAAAATCCAATATTTTCTTAGTTAAGTGTGAATAGAAATATTCCTATATGATGCATTAATGAACCCTAGAATGACCCGTAGAGTTCCTCTATAATCGTCCAACGTATATAAGTTATATAAGGTTTAAATTAGATAAAACGTTGAATATAGTGGGTCTGCCCTAGGTCCACAACCAAACAAGGAACAGGAGATGAGGCAGGCATCACTAATTCTAGGCCAATCGAGACAAAATTCTTATAGGACTCAAACATGTACGCTCAGCGATTATAGTTGAAGTCTAACAGTTCTAGATGCAATATAGTTTTAATATCATAATAACTAACTTAAGTGAACCTGGTACTTTGTATCGGTACCCCCTTTCTTTATAGAGACCCGACACTTTGTATTTGTACCCCTTTTTGTATAGAGACCCGGCACTTTGTATTTGTACCCCTTTTTGTATAGAGACCCGGCACTTTGTATTTGTACCCCTTTTTGTATAAGTGTGTTGAGTGATGTATCATAAACTATACCTATTATAGTTCATCTAAAATGTATATAATATGTATGAATTCTTTTATGGAAATGTATTAGTGTTGTGAATTTATCAAACTATACTTTTATAGTTACATAATACGTGTTCTAAATGAATGAATAATATTAATATGAATGACTTAGTTTCAGTTCATAATGATAAACTAGCAAGGAAACACATTCAAATATTAGAACTTATGATTATACACTTTGCTCAACATAATACAAAGTGTTATGATATTTACATGCTGTTGGCAAAATTTAGCAATTCTGCCCTGTTTTGGAAAAATCATACAAAGTCAAAAACTAGATCCGTAAATTCTGAGAGTTCACAAAATGTGTCTAGTTTGCTCATAATTTTTATCACAATTTTTAATGACCTCTAACTTGGGTGAAAAAGTCCATAATCACAGACTGGTCCGGATTGTTGTTTGAAATGATAGGCAGTTTTGTAAAAATCACCATAAATTGTAGAAAAATCGTATGGAGATGTGCAAGTAGTCATTTTAAAGCTACAAACTTGAACTATTTGCACCTTGTACAGTTTTGAAAACAAAAATGTTTAAGATGCCCAAAACAGTCCGTGAATGGAGTTGAACTTTTCTGATGAAGGCTGTTAGAAATATTTAGTTATGTTCTTGATGTTTTAACTTGTATTCCCCCCCTGAAAACTTGAGAAAACATGAAAATGTAGGGGTATGGACTCACCTTAAGTGATTTCAGTAGGTAAGTGTTGAAGAAGAGAAGTGTTCAACCCAAGAACACTTGAAGAATCACTTGAAGATTCGAAGATCTAACACAATTATGAGAGAGTTTGTTTAAGATATCCATGATTTGAGTGGAAATAAGTGAGATAATCATAAAGAGAATGGATTATGCTTACCAAATGTGGAGGAAAAA